AAGAAAACCTTCTTGCGGGTACAAAAATACGGTAGTCATATACTCATTAAAGTTCGGAGCCAAGCAGCAGCCCTTTCACGGCAGACAAAAGGGGGGCCTACGCAGCGCATCACCAAAGAGTGCCTATTAGACGCCCACGTACACCGGCGGCAGTAGCAGCGCCAGGGCTATCAACGCGTCCCACACACGGCGGTGCCGGGGAGAGCCCAGAGTAGGAGAAGGTGGAGGAGGAGGCCCACGGGCCCAAACGCCAATCGCGGAGGTATAAAGAAGAAGGATCAGGTTTTTAATCGCAGCCAGCTCCCGAACCGGGCGGCATGGAGAGAGGAGGTTCTGGAAGAAGGAGATAAGGAGGGGGAGGGAGGGGCGCTCTCAGATGAGCCCTGCTGGTCTGGTCGCAATGGCAGAGAAGAAGCCCCACTTTCAATATCACAAGGCGCGTTATAATATTCGTCCGGGAGTATTACGTTGATCGGACGGGGTACGATATTCGAAAAAAGGGGGGGGGGGAATTACAGGGCCTAGTGATAATTAGGGTTTTGGCTTTTACTCTCCCGGATAAACGGCTCTTCCTCCTCGCGTGGAGAGGGCTCCGAGAACACGCAGCTCATGTGTACATACAAAACGCCAAAACTTGAACCGATAATGCACATAAGTTTGGATGCATCTTTATTTTCTTGAGACATTTGTCAATTTACTCAATAAGTTTGAGTTCAGAGTACATTATTTCTTTTGTTCAAATGAATCGTTCGCAATAAATGACAGGATCTTAGACATTGCACTGCACGGTGATCTCATACAAAGATGCAGTTATTAAACTTAAACAATCTTCTGCTGAACAGTACTTTTGTCACCAGTCATATGTTTGAAAACATTTTGCGAGATGCGCTCAAAGCGTGCGTCTTGCAATGGACCAAACAAAATGTCCCTACTTGTCATTTAGACTGTACTTGAGTTTTAGCTTCTTCACTACGTACTGTATTTTTGTCTGAACTTTTGATATATTTTTTTAAAAAAATTGCAGGAAAGCGGGCCGAAGCCGCGAAGTACAGGCGCGAGAGAGCTGCTGGACGTCACCGACGGCGAGTCGGCCGCCATGGACGACCTGATTAGAATTCACCTCAGCTAGCCCTCCCGGCCCGGCTCGGCCCGCCCCTTGTACACATCAAGGGGAGGTGCGGCGTTAAAATTAATCGCCCGTAAAAATAAAAAGTGCCCCGCACACCCTGTCGAAATAAAAACTCTGCGACGACCATAGGGTGGGGGGGAGAAGGAAGGAGATGGCAAAGGAGCGGCGCGCAAAGACGCGGTGCATGCTGATGATCCTGATGGTGATGATCCCAATGGTGATGGTGATGATTCGCATGCCGGCCGCGAGCCCCGCTAGCGGACCAATGATGATTACTTTGTTTTGTGTCGGTATCTGCCCCTGCTATCGGGGCCCTGCTGGCTGCGCGGCGGCCGCGCGGCGGCTGCCAACCTCGGCCGCGCCTCTATGGCCGCCGAGGCCGCCAATGGCCGCCAATGGTCTGTCGGCGGCCAGGCGCCCATGCCGGACCAATTTGCCCCCCCCC